TAGCTTACGGTTTTAGTAGCACGTTTGAAACTAAAATGCACTTTTATATTTTCTTCTTTCATCTCTGCCTCTTTGGATTTTTGGCAAACATCAAGGGAGATAAATCAGACCCACCACTGCAAACCCACCTGCTTTCGGGGACATGTAAGCCGACCAGTTTGTGATGTTTTACCGTAGATCTAGCTCCAGCATAGAACTAAAAGAGCATCATTGTGGAGTAAGAATAGAAGGCACGTTCTAAGGTCAAATTTTTTTAAGCTCTGAATCATTTATCTGCTGACAGATTGTGGCTGGACATGGTCTACAGTGACATTTTTAATGACACCAACAAATTGGCGTGGTACTTATAAAGTTGAAATGATTTTGTAGTAGATGAAATGTGAAAATGCAGTTATACTTTGGATTTGACACTAGGGATTAATATGAAAAGATGCTGTCATAGTTGTAAAAATGTAGCAAACCAAGGTACAGTCAAGGTGTTTGTTTATCGGGACATTACTTTTACATTTCATCTGGTGCTAAGGTCACATGTGAAAACAGTCTTCCTCACTAAAATACCTTTCCAGTTGTTGACGGCCCCGAAATTGTTTTATAAAAAATAATAGGCTATGGTCATCCAAACCTGTCTTCCTAATACTTGTTGACACATGAATGCTGTATTCATTTATTTCTCACAACGCACAAGTAAGTGATGATTCTCTTTGAATAGGAATGAAAAGGATTACAAACATGTCAGGGTATATACATTACACTGGAAGAACAGTTTATGTAATATTCTTGATAGCAACTGTAAATTGAATCCACTTAAAATGATCAAAAGTTAATCAAGCTGCTTATCATACTTCTTAGTTTGGTTTTAAACTGATCTTCAATGAGCTCAATTATATCCTCTGTTGGACCCTTGATTTTATCACACTAGAGATCGATGTCTTTTTTGAAGATGTTTAGTCTTGTGACTTGGTGGTTTGGAAATTAAAGAAAATCCGTGAAAGGTAAACTAAATAGGAATTTTATTTTCTATGTGGTGGTAGTGTGAGGAGTGTGTGGGGGGGAATAAAACTCAACTTTTAAGACTTTCTTCCAAACCTCTCACTACCACTCCCTGTTTCTAGTCTGAGTCAGCTTTTGTGTGTGACCCAACCTGACTCCTCCTTAGGCAGATGGAAGATGATCTCAAGGACTTTGCCTGCCAGTTACATTCTTGGTGGTGATGGTCCAGAAGGGAGGTATGCAATAGTGACAGTGGTATTTGTCCTCTCCATAACCATGGCATCAGCCTTCCTCTGATCCTCAGAAGCCATATTCTAAAGTAATGATGGAAATGGTAGCTGCTCTGGTATGTTTAGCTTCTATTCTACCCTGTCTTTCCCGTCATCCTTCTGGGTGTATTTGTGTGCATCTTTCTTTATTGCATGGATATATGCAAAGCTGGGTCCAGAGTGTGTATCAATTGATAAAAACATCACTTGATCCAAATAATTGTTCACTTTTGTTTTTATTCATGGAATAAGTGAAACAAGGATAAATTTAGGACACATAAGATACATGATAGAAAATTCAGAAAATTCAGAACAGGGTATGTATGCGTTAATACATTATCATGCTAAAAGCTCTAAGGGAATTGGTTTCATAATCATAATGTTAATGATATCCAAAGAAAAACAGTAGTTTATTTTATTATTTAAAGTGCACAAATACAGAAAGATGTCTAAAATATATATTCACCAAAAAATTTAAACAGTTAGATGTGATTCTTAAGGAAAAGGGGGAATGATAATTATTATTTTTATTTATTTCTTTAGTGAGTGCTCAGTCTGTACTAGGCAGTGTATTAAGGACTGTACACATGTTATTTTATTCTAAACAACATGAATTTTGGTATTATCCCATTTTACAGATGAGGAAACTGAAGTTTAGTGAGATTAAGTAACTTGTCTGAGAGCCTATAGGTATTAAGTGGAATAGCCAAAAGTAGAACTAATGAATTTGTCTCCAAAGCTACTAAACCACCAAACGGGCCTGAGATCTGGATGCAAGATGCATCTACTGGGAAGTACATTGTGGGTCAAGTTGTGAGTCTCTGGATATTGGTGAAGTAGCTGCCCATGAAGGAGTGAGTTCTTCTCTATTCTCTCTCTGAAGATAAGTGGCAGGACTTCAGAAGACTATGCTGATGGGGACCTTCCAAGAAAATGACCTCGTATCAGTTTTGGTTGTGTTATAAAATGTTTTCAGTCATATAAAAAAAAAAACATTTTCACATGAAACCTTTTAACTTCAGATATTTAGATGGAGAATTATTTGGCCTCTTTTTTGTACTTCTTCTCTGTTCATTTTATTTCTTGTAAAAATTGACAACTATAACTGGAATAAGTCTAAAAATAAAGAAATTAATACTGAAGAGAAAAATTGTTTTATTCTCCCTCTACAGAGTGTTAGGTTTTGTGACTACCTGACTGAAATATTTGTTGAATGAGTGAGTGAGTGAATTTGAGGGATTAGGTGTGGATTCCTGAAATATATACTGTTCCTAGAACTCTCAGCTGTATGGGTAATTGTGAGGTGATTAACTTTAACTTTCACTTTGAAAACACAATTATTTTCTCTAGTCTGTTATACAATTTCATTAATATTAGTCTATTTATAAGAGTCTAGTGTACCTCTTGACCTTCACTTATATGAAAGAGATCAGTGAACAATGTAGCAAAAACAGCTTATTTAGTCTGTAAAGTGAAGTTCCAGAAGTTATTCCCTTAGCCAACTGAGATTACTGTGCAAGAAGAAGACGCTAGAAACACACGTGTAGAAAGCATTTAAAAGTAATCCTAAGAAGGGAAAGTTTATTAAGTAAGAAGAAGTTGATGATTTTTATTTCATTTGATTTTTGGCCCTTTATTTTTTTAAAACAAACAAGGAAGATTCAAGTATGCACAGAAAAAAATTACTCAATATTATGCAAAATTACTTTCTAGAAATTTTTGATCAATTTCTCTTTTTCTGAATCAGACTGTTGGTAACATTTAAACACAGCATGATGCCAAATGAGTAGGCAGTTTCTAGGGAGTGTAGTCCAATGATTTCTCTCCCTTCACATCTTGAAAGATGCAAAAAGAGTTATCCTGAGAACCACACAGCACATGTTTGTTCCTGAAATAGTTCAGCAGTGCAGTAGTAACATTTTCACTGGTCATCTTTTCAAATAGTCTGTAAGTGGAAACTATTACTATATGGAAAGAGAACCCTTCTATTGGAGAAAACCTGGGCTGTGAAAACTTGCTTCTACCTGGTACCAGATTCCCCTACTTAGACTCCATACCAGGTCAGATAAAACATACATATCATAATATATCTCTTTATGCAGTACCTTTATATTTACCTCATTCTATACCCCTTTCTCACCCCAAAATTTTCTTTATCATCAGAAACTGCATTTACTTTGATAAATATAAACTTTCTATGTATTCTTTTACTTAAGTTATGGCAATTTTTTAAAGTTCCATTTTTATTCAGCTTTAGCATTCTATTCCTGTAAGCCATCAGAGTTTCCTCTGGAGTGATTTGTAATATGTTTGGTTTTGTTAGCAAATTTGGAACTTTTCAGTTTGTGTCCTTTCTCTACATGATATAAGATCTAATTACCACTCAGCATGAAATAGCAGCTGAAATGAAAAAGGCAGCAAGCAAGAGAAGGCACTGGCTTAACTTAGAGCTAATCAACGACTTGCTTCTTACATACTTCTCAGCGAGAGAGAGAAAGGAAAATGGCATTCATTAAAGTAACTGATATAGTAAACATTTTTTTTTCTTTCTTGATTTTAACTTAAGGAATGAATTTGATTAAATCTTTATGGAAGCAAGATATTAAACAATACTTTTAATTTGCAATACTAGTCATTGATGTTTCCTCAAATTGTGCAAAATACTTTCATCACCAGGGTTGTTAGAAGTAGTCCCATTCTATTTTCCTGACATTTAAACAGATAAAACAAGCAACATTTATAGCATAAAAATAACGTCAAGTGAATTATTAATAATTTTTTATAAGGCTTAGAATTTTACTCAGTTTTGAGCTTTTGGATCTTGAATCTATCTGAAAAAAATCTCTAGATTTGCCTTTAAGGCATATGTCATCTTAATATAGTAGTTTTGGGGCTTTTTATTTTGTAGAGTGAGTGAGTTGGGTAATTAACCTATCAGGAGAAAGATTGATAATGTTTTTAGTTTTTAAATTACTGTGGTCTTTCACCTATCAGATTGTCAAAAATTAAAAAGTTAGATAATATGTGGTATTGGGCAGGTGTGGAGAAACAATATTCTATCACTGTTTGGAGTATTTGGAGTTGATGTATTAGTACAACTTTGGAGGGAAAGCACCTTTATCAAAAATGGGTATGCATATACCCTTTGACCTAGCAATTCCACCCCTAGGAACCTATCCTTAAACATGTATGTATAAAAATGTTCCTAGTGTTATTATTTGTAATATAAATAGAGAAAATGCAAAAAAATCATTAATAGGAGAATATTAAATAAATTATGATATATCCATATCCAGATGTACCTCATTGTTTTTAATAGCTGCTCCTAAAGAGAATGAAATATATTTGCATGTATTGATAAGGAATATTCTGTAAGTTATCCTATTACATGAAAGGAGCATATAGTTTACTTCTGTTTGTGCTTCAGAAAGCGAAGGATGGAGATGTGTGTATACAACTTCCCTCCCTCTCCTCCTCCTCACGTAAACCTGCATTCACATATCCATAGAGGAATGGATGAAAGGGTACGAAAGAAGCTATTGATACTATTTCTCTCTAGTGAATGGGACTGTGGGTCTGGGATGGAAGGCAGGGGCTTTGTTTTGGTGAGGGGACATACTTTTCTGTGCTGTTTGAATTTTTTTTTTTTTTTTTTTTTTTTTTACTATATGTGTATATTAGTTTTAATAATTAAAAAGAAATTTTAAATTAATAACCAGGTCTTTTTTTTTTCTTTTTTAGGACTCAGCCCAGGAGAGTGTTATTACTCGAGATATTCATCGTACATTTCCTGCACATGATTACTTTAAAGATACTGGAGGAGATGGCCAGGAATCACTCTACAAGATCTGCAAGGTAGGGCCCTCCACCTCATTTCTTCTAACTCATTTCCAAGGCTATATTTTAGGAACCCATCTTAAAGATTTTTAGATTTTTTTCTGTCTTCATGTCTTATTTGCACTGTGCCGTGTGCTTTACATTTACGATACCAGATCCTCGGTGCTGAGTCCTGAAGGTGACTTTTTGGCTGCATGTTCTGTGCCATGCAGCCTCCTGCCAAGGGAGGAGGCACAGTGTGGCCTCAGTTTGGCTCTGCTGCTCACAGGAGTGGAACAGAAGGTCCTCTCAGGCTACTAGAGTAAGGTTCAGAGGAGTCCTGAGGACTCTGCCCTTCTGACAACATAATGTGGCAGTTGTCTCAATTTTTTGACACTAAGCCAGAGTCAGAAACAGTGTGGTACCTGTTTTTGAATACTGGCAAATTCTCTGATGTTGATAGACTCTGAGTTATGTCACATCATACCTCTTTGTGCAGTTTTTATGTCCCGTTTTGAAATCTTTCTTCTCCCTCATTTTTAGTAGGCTTGGAAGAAAACTGTTTCCTGATCTTCAGTAAAAATGTGCTGCTTGGGTACAAAAGATTCTGTCTCTGTTAGTGGAGAATAGTCATCAGATTATTAATTTCTCAAGGTTATATCAGAAATATACAATGACTTTTTAACTCATTATATATAGTTATCTTATCTTGTCAGTGCTAATTGAGGCCAAAGACTTAAAATTACAAAGTCCATTAAACAAAGTTTTGCCCTTTATTCTCAAACTTAAGATGCCCTGCAAAGTGTGGTTGGTATACACAACATTGTCCTCACCTACCATTCCAGTAGACATTGTTAATCAATAGTAAACTACACAGAAATCTTGTAATGATATGAAGAAAAAGCAAACACCGTGGCTAATTTGGATGTTAGGTAATCAGTTCCTGAATAATCAAATTTAGCATTTTATTGAGTAGCAAAGATTAGCTAGTAGGTAGTCAGAAGTATACTCACGTATCAATGTCATTTTATATTTACTGTTTTTTTTAGATGGCACTTATAAAAGCACTTGCCTGTGTGTGCTAACTAGGCAAGATTGATGCTTAATTCTGCAAATGGCATGGCATTCATTCAAGTCCATCTTGCGTGTTGGTGGTTTAGCCCTCTGCCCACTTCTGTCTTTTTTTTTCTTTTTTCTGTTCTTTTCTCTTGATATAGCCATTTCGGAGGATTATAAATATACACACTGATTGGAAATCTATTTTTATATGGATATATCATTCAGAGCTAGAAGTGCATAAATAACTTAAAATCTGAGAGTGTACTGATTTCTGGAAAGTGATATGTCATCTAGTTTTAAAATGTCAAAAACCACTGAACACCACAAAAAATATATAATATATTCATTATATGCTTGTAAAAGGAAAGAGTAATTAAAAAAATTTCTACCAATTTTGAAATTCTACAACCTAATTAGCTTCTGGCTTGTGTAAGGAAGATATCAAAATTTACATAGTTTCTAAATTTATTTAGAGGGGTCTGGCTTAATGGGATATGGAACAGCATTTTCCCCCTAGCATTTAGTATATTTTTAGCCAATCAGTCACTTTTCCCTCAATTTTTCTCTGTTTGATACTAGATATTCTTTTCACATAACTAAAACAGATGGTTCTATGTGCTTGCAGCCTGTGACTTACAATTTTGTTCCATTGTAGTAAAAATAGTATTTGCCTCATTATGTAATATTTAGAGGGGAAATATCTGAAACATTGCTAAACACAAGATAAAAGTTAAGTAGTTGGGGGCCGGCCCAGTGGTGCAAGCAGTTAAGTGTGCGCACTCTGCTGCGGTGGCCCGGGGTTCGCTGGTTCGGATCCCGGGCGCGCACCGCTGCACTGCTTGTCAGGCCATGCTGTGGCGGCGTCCCATATAAAGTGGAGGAAGATGGGCACGGCTGTTAGCCCAGGGCCAGTCTTCCTCAGCAAAAAAGAGGAGGATTGGCATTGGATGTTAGCTCAGGGCTGGCCTTCCTCACACACACACAAAAAAAGTTAAGTAGTTGGTACCTTAAAGTAGTTGATACCCCTTGCTTTGATATTACAGATAATAATCCAAAAAATGTTTAGTACATTTACACAGCTTTTGTAGCCATTTTATATTATCAAGATATGTTTTGTAACATGATTAGACGGTTTTAAAACATATTCATTCTGAGTAAAGAATATTATAAAAATGTAGCTCTAAGATACCTTATAATTACCGACTAGCTTAAGTTACACTAAATTTTGTGAAAATGTAGAAAACAAAAGAATCATATTAAAAACATTTCAAAATTCAAGATAGTAAATAAAATTTGCTAGGGCTTGTAACATTGTACTAAAATATATATTAAACATAATTTCACAACAGTCTTTGATAATGGAAGAGAGGCAGAGATGAATATATCAGAAAATGTTGGAGAAACCCGAATTTGCTGGGGTCCTACCATGTGGACCATGTGGTTTGTAGTTAACACACTTCCTTCTCCTCTTGATCTACTACTATTTAGTGGTCCAGTGCTCATGCAGGGACACCTCTGGTAGTGGTGATAACTCACCAATAGGATAGCATACTTATGAGTAATTTAGAGTTGAATATTCTTCTCAAGTTTGTGCACTCACTTTCCTTTGCTTTTTGTATCCAATTTGAGCCATCCTCTTTCATTTTATGACCTTCATTCTGTATCCTCAAAAGCTAGCATGTGTGACTTTTAAGGCCACTGAGTGTGGTCTATCTATTCTATCATTTTTATTTCTAGAATAATATCCAGTATCATACCTCACACTCTCAGCAATATACCTTTGAGTTTCCATTCGGGATTCCTTGCACAAAACTGAATAAACATTAATAATATAAATAAGCTGCTTTGTTATATAATCTATAATAAGGACAGTTTTACTTCTTCTTTACCAATTCTCATTCTTTTTTTTCTTCTTTTTTTTTTTTGGTGAGGAAGATTGGCCCTGAGCTGACATCTGTGCCAATCTTCCTCTATTTTGTATGTGGGACACCACCACAGTGTGGTTTAATGAGCAGTGTGTAGGTCTGTGCCCAGCATCCGAACCTGCAAACCCTGGGCCACTGAAGGGGAGCACATGTACCCAACCACTACGCCACTGGGCTGGCCCCCGTTTTTTTTTCTTGTTCTTTTTCTTGTCCTACTGCACTGACCAGAACCTCTATTATAGAGGTAAAGTGAAGCAATGATAGTAAGACATCCTTGTCTTTCTCCTGATTGTAAAAGAAATGCATCTTATGATTTACCACTAAGAATGGTGCATCTTATTCACATCAGCAACACACTTCTAGACATTTTTTTTATACAGTGCCTTCCATGTGTTATAATAATTTCAAATTTACAGAGTATTTTTACATTTTATTACCTCATTTATTTTTGACAACTCCTCATTAGTGGAGCCTATACTAGAAATACAATATGTTGTGCTCTTAAAGTGAGACAGAAATTAAGAGAATTTCAGTAGCAGTAAGTGTAGAAATCAACTCTGGTTTCAAGGTTACAAAAGTTTGACTTTGTAGTTGAAAAGTTTTCTGTGGCTCTGGTGAAATGAGAAATGATCTCAACTGTCAGATTACAGGGAAGACTTCAAAACTTGCTGTCATGTTTTAATGGCCCTGTCAGTTTCAGTTTTTGCCTCTTAATATCTTTTTCAGAGTAGGAGGAAAGCAAAATGGTTCAAAGAATCTTCTGTTGTCATAAATTTATGTGTGTAAGTTGAGCGGAAAGTATAATAGAATTCATAAGATTCTGAAAACGAATGGGTTTGGGCTCCCCTCCCTTCATCCCTCTCTGCTCCCTCCCTCCCTCCCTTCCTTCCTCCTTCCTTCCCTTCTTCCTGTCTTTTCTATTGGTTAGATCAATAACATATTTTAAAATAATGTTTTTGAAAGGAGGAAAAATATACTACCACCCCAAGTATCTTTAGCACTTGTCTAATTTATGCATGATGTAAAATCTGTTTTCAGTTGGAAGATCGGTTGGCACAGTTTAAAGGACTGAACATCAAGAGATCTGGTTCTGGTCTTGATTCTTCCCCTGAGCAGATCTAAGACTTTGGGAAAATCACTTTTTGGATTTCCTCCTCAGTAAGAGTGTGTGGGGTCTAATAAGATTATTCCAACTTAAATTTGCTATGATTCTAACTGTTTAAAAAAATTTTCATGAAAGTTAACAGATGAATGCAGAATTTAACGGTTAATTCCTATGCTGGATATTAGTTCTGTTTCTCAATACCAGAGCTATAAAGGAGTGTGCTTTAACTTCGAAGACTTTACCTGACTTTCTGTTGGCTATGTTTCATGCACATGTGAAATGGAGTGCATTTAGTGATTTACTTTTAGATATACGTCTCTTTATAAGACCTAAGACCTGTCAGTCATAGCAATCAGCCAAAATATTGTTCACAATAGTATAGACTAAGTGACTCTTGGTGTGCAGTTTCATTTGAAGTATATATTTTTTTCTAATTTTCTGATTAGAGCAATTCCTTTCTGAAAAAGAGGCTACTCTTATGAATTGAATGGGAAGGATTGGATATATTATAGAGAGATCAATACCTTTGTTCATCTAGGTTAATACTTTGATAGTATAATGGTTTGTGGAAGGACAAAAATAAACTTAACCCTTGTTTTATCAAATATTTTTCTCAAAACAAGATTGGATGTAATGTAAGAACTAAAGCATTTCAGGTATTATTTTGATACCAATAAAGAGTGATCTGCTGCATGATTTTTATCCAAATGATCATTGACTCTTGTAAAATTAGATATAATCATGCACTATTTCTATTGTTTTCTAGACTTGGAAGGGTATTTGTGGTTATAGGGATGGATTATTTTTTACTGAGTTGATAGTATTTTCAATATAATTTTCTATTTATTTGACTACTCGTAATATAGTTCTTTTCCTTGGGGTGTCTGAATGATCCCTAATTTGAATGCCAGCATTTACTGAACAAGTATGGTCCACTGTTCTTTACTCTG